GGAATGGGATCCAGAAAAGCCAGCTCACTCAGCAGTGAGTAGCCAGTAGGAAATGCTGAGGAAAGGGGTGAGTCCCAAGTCCTGCCCCTCAAAGGGACTTACCGGCCAAGCCCCATGCAGGATTCACAGCTGTGAAGTCTCTCCTGGTGTTACAGTGCCAGGTCAACCCTTTCTTCCAAAAACAGGCAGAACCTCTGCCTTATAACGTTTAGCCCAGTGGTTAGCCTGCTCACCCAGGATGTGGGAGCCCCAGCTCCAATTCCTCCCTCTGCCTGATGTGGACCAGGGATTTCAACCTGCCTCTGAGGAGGGTGCCCTCACCACCAGGCTATCTCCTGTTGAAGCTGTTTTACTTCGTATCACTAATTTAAATAGTCATGTGGGGAGGCAGAGCTAAGTAAGGGTGGGTGTGACTATAGCCTGGTGGTTAGGGCCTGCTTCTGGTATGTAGGAGACCCCTGTTCAAGTCCTCCTTCCACTGGCTATTTATTTATGCAAAGTAGAATGGCTTCAGTGGGAGAGAGCCTAGAGTGTGGCTTTGTTGCTATCTCAGAGCTGTGGGTTCTGAGCCGTGCTCCACATCAGGCACAGGGAGGATTTGACTCAGTATCTCCACATCCTGGATAAGAACACTAATCACCAGGCTAACAGTTATAAAGTGTCTTGTATTGGGCCTGATCTGTTAGGCGGCCCCTAAGCATGCCTATTGGATTGGGCCCCGCCAGTGAGATAGGTGGGGAATACCTAATTTGAAGATCCTGCAAGGGTTTAGGGATGGGCTAGGCACCCAAGCCCCTGAACTTTGGTGGCAGGGCACATGCCCAACAGCAAATGTTTAGGTTCTTAGGGGATTTTATCAGTGGAAACTTAGGCATGGAGGGAATTTAGGTACCTACATGGTTAGGCAGCAGCAAAGCAGGGGTTTTGAAGATCTACATTTTGGATTTAGGTGCCTGAAGTGAGTTAGGCTGGTTTGCAAAAGACTCAGGGCTAGATCTACATAGGGATTTAGATGCTCAAGTGCCTGCATAAATGATGGTGGTAAGTATAACTGGCTTCTGCAAATTGCTGATGGGCTCATCAGACACAGCTCCTGTCCCTAGTTGTATATTACAGTGAGACTACTTGAGAGAGTAAGGGTTGCACGAGCAGGCCCTTTGTTTTCACTACTGAAGACAGAGTCCAGCAGCTAAGGTAGTTTTCTACATATAAAAAAACCACTTGTTTACAGTAAACCAAAATATTTTTAGCTCTAGTTTCCTTCCTCTCTGTGAACCATCCTAATTCCTGATCATGGGCTGGCTGACACTGAGGCCTTCCCAGTTTTTCATTGAGCAGGTCCAGTTTTAGATGAGCTCAGAGCTGCTTGGCAGATTCATTAGTAGCCATCATGTAAGCAATGACTGGTATTCTTCTCTTTTCCCACCCACTCCGGAGATACATTACCCAGTGACATGTTTGGCTTCCGCTGGCCCAAGACCTATGCGTGGGTGTTTGAAATTGGACCTCTTGGCTAGTAGTGATGTGACCTGTTGCAACAACTGCTGCAGTGGTTTGTTTTACTATTTGCCTGTTCATGTGTAATTACTATCACTGTTAAGGAAACTGATCATTGCTGGATAGAGCAGATTTCAATTTTGGGGATGAGGGGTCTACAGAAGAAAACTGGAAGATTTGACTGTTTGTGTATTTGTTTTTAATCCCTACCTGCTGTTCCTTTCCCCCTAACCGGTATCTACCTGTGTGCCCTTCCTTAGATTGTGAGCTGCCAGGGATGGTGTCAGTCCCTTCTTGAATGGCTAAAACACCCTCCACGCTGAGTCAGACTATAATCAAATGATAAAAACTCTGGCGTTTATAAAGACAGCATTAAATAATAGTTCTCAGCACAGAACCCATTGTCTGCAGCAAGGGAGATTTAGGTTAGATATTAAGAAAAAACTTCTAACTATAAGGGCAATTAAGCTCTGGAATAGGATTTGAAGGGAGGTTGTGGAATTCCTGTCACTGGAGGTTTTTAAGAAGAGGCGGGACAAATACCTGTCAAGGATGGTTTAGGGCAGTGGTGCCCAAGCGTTTCCTGTCATGCCTCCCCTTACAGTAATGGAATCTATCTGTGCCTCTCCCTCCATTACAGCACAGTTGGCTCAGCAGAGGAGCTGGGGCTGCAGGTGGAGCTGGGGACAGAAGTGGGGATGGGGGAGGAGCTGGGGCTAGAGGTGGAGCTGGCCTCGGGGCAGAGAGGAAATGGGGGCCGGAGCTGGGCTGGGGGCAGAGCAGGGGGTGGAGTGGAGATGTGGTTGGGGATGGAGCTGGGCTGGGGGTGGAGTGGGGCTGGGTGGCGCTCCTTCCCCACCCCCATGGGGGCTGGCCTGGGCCCCACTGTGTGCGCCCCTGAACTGAGGGGGGCACCCCACAGTGTGGGAACCACTGGTCTAGGGGTACCTGGTCCTGCTTCAATGCAAGGGGCTGGACTTGGTGACTTCTCAAGGTCCCTTCCAGCCCTACATTTCTATGAAACAGAGACACAGAAAGGTTGTGACTTGTCCAAAGCCACAGAACCAACTAGCAGCAAATTTGGGAATACAAAATCTCTCGAGACCCAGATCTGAATTCTGTCCTCTGGGCCATACTACCATTGTGTGGGTTAGATATTTATTGTAAACTACATTTGGAGTTATTGGGCCTAGTTTTCCCTCACATCAGGATGCCTCTACAGTGCTTCAAGCAGTGCAAAAGGAATGTGTTACTCTTACTTTCAGGCCCCTTTACAGTGCTAGTATCAAGAAGAAACAGCACCTCTATAAATTACTAGATATAGGGTCTGTTTCTCCACTTGCCCTGTATGGTCATTTGCATCTAGGCAAAGTGGGTGTAAACTGCTATCTTTTTGGCTAGGTAGCATTTTACCCCCCTTCTGGACAGGTGTAAATGGTGCAAGAACAGTAGAGAACCAGGGTCATTTATTAATGCTGGTTATCATGAACCCAAATAAGTTACTGTCTTATGCAGGACTAATAAGTAGAAACATTTTTTATCATTAGGGAAAGTGTTGACAAGGTGATAATATTTGACTGTAAGCAAAGTCTCCAGTTATAATTAAGTAACAGCCACTGGTGCAGTAGTTGTAAGTGTAATTTGAAATAAAGATGAACACCATTAGGGTCACGTTCTTCTGACACAGACCCTTATTGACTAGAAATGTACGGAGTGTAAGTCAGGACACAGCATTTACAATCTTAATGGTAGAGGTTGTGACTGTCTCATTCCCACCATAATATTTTGGTTTAGCACTACTTCTGGCAAAACTTGAATATTGTGCAAGAGAAAACAGATACTGTGGTACTAAGGCAATACAGAAGAACATAGACAGACCAAAAAACAAGCTTGCACTATTGATAAATCTTATCAATGAAGTGGCCTTTGCTACATTAATTTCTGAAAATTCCAATCACACAAGTAACTGCACCCATTGGAGCTGAAGTTAGCAGTTGTAGCTAGTTCCTTATTTTGCAAAATTGTTTGGGAAAGACAGTTAATCAGAAAATGGAGGGAAGGAAACAGGTAGAGTTGTGTAAATGAGCTCTCGCCACCTAACCTTGTTTTTGGAAGAAGGAGATTAAGAGATAAAACCAAGAAAAGAGCAGGTACACTGGAACAGGTGGCCTTTTCCAGTTAATTAATCATAGCCTTTGTTTAGCCTCTTCAGTTGTGCTGTTCCACTACAGCAAAGACAATTACTTATTTCTCACAGATACTTCAGGATGAACTGGATCAGGAAGATGAATGTCAGTAATTTAAGGGGAAAAGTAGCAAGATGTGACTTATCCATATGTATTCTCAGGCCCAATCTATTTAGGTAAATGTTGAACCAACTAATTATACACTTAAAAATACCGAAGTGTAAGATAGTGTAAGATACCAGGACAATGTCAAGCAACCCACAGTGCTTCCCTATGGCATTAACCCCTCTTTAACAGGTGGTACTGGTGGAGACACATTGGTGCAGCTACAGCATGAAGCTTGCTCAGCCACTGTTCAGGCTGTAGCTGTACTATAAACAAAGAACTTCAGTCTCTCAGTTTGTCAGTGCAATACATTTCATGTGTACTAGTATAAATACATATTTAAATAAAAACCTGCCCTTTCTACATTTTCTACATGATGCCTGATGTTTTAGCCAAACGCTCCTGATCTTGAATTAAAGCCCAACGTTCGTCAATTTATTAAAACAAAAATATATGCAGCACTTTAAATCAAGGCTTTCCTCAGTGCAGGAAACTGAGCTGTACATTTTAGTGTTGTGCAGTTTGACAACTGTTGCAAAATCTCCACCCTCCTAAAATATCAACTGAGTCATGAACATCCAGATTAAAACAGTGTACCAACAAAGCCAGCCAACTGCAGCAGTTACCGAAAGATATCCTTTCTTAGCCAAGCAAGACGGCAGGAGGTTAAGTGAAGACTGAGGGTTGCTATTATGGGAAAAGTCCCACTGCTTTCTACAGCAGGTAAAGACAGGGTAGAAAAGATCTGGCGATGAATACAGGAAAGAAGGGAGTGAAAGGAGGAGTAATCACCCCCTAGCAGCCAGTCACTGGCACAGAGAAATGCTCATGTTTCAGACTGTGTAACTGGATTTGAAGAGGGGTTCATCTCCTCTTGGGAATTTAGGACAGCCTTCAACAATGGACTAGGAGTGCCAAGAGATGCAGAAATCCCCTCCAATGTGGATGCAAGAGACTCCATGTTCACTCTGCACATTTCCTGCAGACACTAGACTCTGTGTCTTGTTTTTTGATGCTGATCAATCCTGAATTCTTCCTGCAAAGTGATACTGAAATGTTCAGTAACAGCTTAAGCTGTGATCTTAGCTCTTGGTGGCAAAAGCTTATTGTATTACAACTGTGCTTTAAATGCTTCAGTTATTGCACTCATTTATTATAAAAACAAAGAATAAATAATATAACTTATTATTACATCTCTAATAATCCTAAAAATATATACCTCTAATTTTAGCACTTTCAGCAGTTATTTCCAAATTAGACACTTAGCTGAAATATATAAAGTCCTTTTTAACCAGTGACATTTGACACACTACAGGTGTATGTTAGTACATGAATCAGTTAAAGCCTGATTAATAATACTTGTACTCCTGCTGGAGAGGCTATAGCAGTGTCCAAAGAGAAAAGTTAAAGGTAAAATGAATGATTCACTAGCATTTATTTAACAAACGTCAGCTCTCTGCAACAGTCTACTGTCCTGTTCTGCAGCTAGTTCTTGTCTACTACTTTACATAGAGGAAATTTGAAGGGCCTCTGCAAAGTTTTCCTCAAGATCATCAAGTTCCTTATTTGATTCAAAGTCACTGTCACACGTGGTTGAGTTCAGTGTTGGCTCAAATGTGTGTGAAATATCTGGGGCTTCTTCAGATTGCACTGAAGAGTAAGGATCTGTTCCAACACTCACCACTTCAGTTCTATCTTTTGAAAAGATATCCTTGTCATGCATCTGCTTTGAAGTTTCACTGTGTACGGGGTGTTTTAGTTTGTCTGTTTCCTTTGATAATAAATCCATGGCTTTTAGGAACTCCTCACTTTTTGTAGTCTTATTTTGTTTCCAATTTTTGCTGGTAAATTGGAGCTGGTCCAAGGTCTCAAATCTTTCCAGATCAAATGGGTCAATCACTTCCATGCTGCCATTGACTCTCTCAGATTTCTCTGTGCTGCAGCCCAGGTCGACTTTGAGGACATCCAGTAGGTGGCGCATTTTGTTCTAGAATTTAAGGGAAGAAATAAGATTCTTAATCACTTATGGCCCACTCCACAGCTGCCTGCAGTCTTAAGACAGGATCTGTAACAGATTTCATAGTCCAAATAGCTGAATGTATTGAGAATTTATTTTCAAATTAGCATGTTCCATTTAGTTACATTTTTGAGGAAATACAGGATGCATAAAATCAAGTAACTTAATTATTCTTATAATTACTTTGCAGAAAACAATGATCAAGTTTCTGAAATAACTGTTACCCAGTGCATGAAAGTATGCATGATGTGGGTGATCTAGAAAGGTCACATTTCCCACTTCCACTGCTGACAAAGTACCACCACACAATCTCTCATTTAAAAGGTGGATCTGTACTGAGGGTTATGGCTACATTTGCAGCATTTTTAAAAGTGCACTTTGGAAAGACCTCTCTGAAGTCACTTACATGGACTGAGAACATTACAGACTCTGTTCGGAAAAAGAACATACCTCATCCAAACGGTGTTTATTTTGCTCTATGTGACGCTCAAACAATCTCTCCAAAACCCTAAAAATAAATAAATAAGTAAGGCTCAGGCAGATCATTATTTTGAGAAGAGAAAGATAAAATGTCCTAAACAAGCCTAGATGAGTAAAGGATCCAAGCTCCAGAGTCTTCATGCATTTACTAAGGGGAAATAATCAGATTCCCCTCATTATACTTTGTCACAAAGAGGCCAACATTGTGTCTACAGGTCTCTCATATCTTACGCTGGGGTAACGTTCTGTGGTCAGCGCGTAAAGCGAAAACCACGTATAGTCAAAATTACATTGAGTGTAATGGCGGACGGGAATCGCCCGCACTACAGGAACAGTATTTAAATTGTTATTTTTCTCTTTTTTTGTGTTTTTGTTTTTGCTGACCGCGTAAAGCTGAATTCGCGCATGTTAAATGCGCATAAGATGCGACAGACCTGTACATTTTAACAGACATTTACTCAGTGGGCCAGGCCTTGTCATAGGGCTGAATGAGAACACTAACTGATGTACCCCTTGCTCTGTCTTAGCCAGTCTCAGCTCAGATAGAGTGAGCGGATGCCACAGACTGAAGTATTCACAATCCCATAACCCCTCCCCATAGTGGCTGCTGATGTGCAGAGGTACAAGCATAATCCTATACTCCCAGCAGACCCCCTGTCCCAGGCCGTATACTCCCAGCAGACCCCCTGTCCCAGGGGAGGGGGAAGAGACAAAACGCAGCTTCAGCAGCTCACTGTGGCAAGGGAAAGAAGATCCCTCAGGCCCTAAAGGCCCTCTATCATGGCCTGTGGGGAAGGCAGAGAGAAAGAACCTCTGGTCCCTTCTTCAGAGACTGGGGAGAAGAAACTGTGAGGAGAGAGTCAGGAAGGAGATGCTGCTAGGGCACCTCTGTCAGTGCCAGGATTGATATGGGCTGTGCCCCTCTGCTCCACTTGATTTGAAGTGGGGGGAAGGAGGAAGTGGACTAGAAGGGTGGAGAATGTGCACGAAGGAAAGAGTGGGGGGAATGAGGAAACAGATTGAGAATAGAAAGAAAAAAGAATTAGTGAGAGTGAGGGAAAGAAAGGAGAGACTGGAAACAGGGAAAGAGAAAGAGGACAGGCCGGTTGTTGGGGATGAGAAAAAGAGAGATGGAAGAGAATTCAGTGCACAGAGAGAATTTAACGGTAAGGGAGAATAACCATTGGAACAACTTTCCAAGGGACATGGTGGACTCTCAATAGACTTCATTTGAAGTCTATAAGATTGGAGATCTTTCTAGTAAATACGTTATAGTTGAAACAAAAATTATGGACTTGATGCAGAAATTACTGGGTGAGGTTCCTTGCTTTGTGTTATATAGGAGGTCATCCTAGATTATTACAATGGCCTTAAAATCTATGTATCTCTGATAGGGGAAGAGTGACAAGAGATGGAGGAGGAGAGGAAGAAAGAGAGCAGACTATGAAGATGTGCCAAGATCTACAACAGAAGTAAAAGGAAAGGAGAGAGAATGAGAGCAAAGGGAAGTTATGTTTTTAGAAGTGTATTTAATAGGAGGTTAAATGCCAAAATCTTATTATAAAAATGTCACCAGGGTCAGAGATACTGCACTCCACACTGCTTACAGAATCCAATCTGTTCTGAGCACAGTCCCTACAAACCTTAAAACAAAGATATCTAACCTGTTGGAAAATAATCCAAGCTTCAGAATTTCATCTGTTACATCTTCAATGAAACTCAAATACCGAAGCTCTTCTTCTCTGCACAGAGAACAGAAAATCCAGTCTGAATGTTTAAAAGTAGAGACATCTGTCACACAACAGAGCAAGAAGCTTTACCTGCTAAGGGAAATTACTTAGCAAATACCATGGAGAAAATGGAAACACTTATAGCTCTTGGGACCAACTTAGCTTCTTGTCTTACAGAAGACAAGTTACTTAGGTCTCATGTTTAGGTTGAATAAAAATAAGCTCTGTATAAAGTACGATGATATCTGCAGAAATGTTGCCTTGGCATGTCAGAGCAAAACTGTCAAGCTTTATGTTAACTTCCTGCTCTTGTATAAACTAGTCCAGAGCTCCTGAGGTGGGCAGTCCTGCAGGAGGGGTGACGGATCACAACCTGCTTTGTGCTATGAGATCTGGAAGGCTAACACTGCTCAAGAAATGGGTAGTGCTAGCCAGGTAGGGGGCAGAGACATGATGCAGCGCAATGCTCTGATTCAACAGCTTTCACAGGGGTTTCTAGGGAACTTCAGTTGCTACTCCCTGGTGGGAGGGCAGTGTTTCGACTGAAAACCTCCCTTACTTCAGGCATTGCTGGTGCAGGGAGAGGTAATGGATACCTCTCGGAGCCAACTTCACTCATTCTGATCCTTTCTTTTTAAATTTCAATGGAAACAACCCTTTAGCAAGACAGAAACATTCCTCTGCAGTGTTTGCAACCCAAATGTTGCAGCATTCAGCTAGTGCAGGAGAATCAGAGAATGAAACTCACTAGCACCTAGCACAACAGGTCCTGCTCCAGGACCAGGGCTCCTAGTCACTATGGTAATACAGGTAATAATAATAATGATAATAGCCAATTTTCATTGTAGAGTCAGAGAGCTACAGAAAGAAAAACAATGCCATGAGTAGAAAGTTCATCAGATTAACATATTTTCAATGCTAACAGGCAAAGGTTTTACAAGTAACAATGCTAAGGAATTTTTTACACAAGGGTTTTAGCCTATAACTACTCCAGGAAGAACAGGGGAACACTAGACTGTTCAAACAGCTAAGCATTAAAAGTATTCTTCAGTGGCACGTGCAAGCAGCTGTCATTAAGAAATATGTAAGAGAATTAATCAGGCATCAGCATAAAAATATATTGATGTAATGTGTTGTAAAATGTCCTTTCAAGTAAACAAATGATATAGCTAAAATAAGTTGCTTGGATTATGGGAGTTCAACATCACAAATGCCTTGAAGAGTGTTGAGGTCTTGTGGAGCTCTTTGGCTAACATTCCTTAGAACCAGTGGTGATGCCAATCACTATGGCTGGGAGAGCCTCCAAAAGTTTGGAGTTCTGTTGAGACAACCTAATAATAACAACAATAACAACGCAGTAATATGTTCCCCTTCTATAGCATCTTCCAAGGATTCCAAAAAGCTTTTCAGGCAAGTCCTCTTCAAGACAGGGAAGCATTATCATTCCTTTTATAGATGGAGAAACTAAGATACAGAGCAGGGGTCGGCAACCTTTCAGAAGTGGTGTGCTGAGTCTTCATTTATTCACTCTAATTTAAGGTTTTGCGTGCCACTAATACATTTTAACGTTTTTAGAAGGTCTCTTTCTATAAGTCTATAATATATAACTAAACTATTGTTGTATATAAAGTAAATAAGGCTTTTAAAATGTTTAAGAAGCTTCATTTAAAATTAAATTAAAATGCAGAGCCCCTCGGACTGGTGGCCAGGACCCGGGCATTATGAGTGCCACTGAAAATCAGCTCGCGTGCCGCCTTTGGCACACGTGCCATAGGTTGCCTACCCCTGATATAGAGAAATTATGTGACTTGTAAATCAGTGTAAGAGCTGGGAATATAATTTCAATCTCTGACTCCAGGGTCTCACCAGGTTTCTGGCCAGAAATACTAGGAGAATGCTCTCCATGATCAGTTCTGTTCCTGGATATAAACTGGAAATAACAACAATCAACCAACTTATCCATGTGTTTTAGAACTTCAAAAAATGTTGGGTTCTAAAAAGGAGTGAGGGCTGGGGGCAGGAGTTCTGACTTTATTTGGACCGGGCTGCCCATCCCTACAAGTACAAGACTGGGAAGGAGATCTGGGTTCTATTCCTGGCTTTACCCCTCCTGAACCCAGTTGCCACATCTATGAAATGGGGATAACTATCTAGCTCACCAGGGGATTGTAATGCTCAGTTCACTGTCAGCAAAACACTTTGTGTTATTCAGATGGAAGGGTCTATGGAAGTGCAAAATAATATTAATGCCTCTCTGAATATCCTATTTCTTCAGTGTGCTTTCCTCTTCATTCCTGTTGCATGTAAAGGGGATCTTTGTTCTCAGAAATTTCTCTGTTCCTGCTACTTGTTCTCCACCTGATGCCTGATTGCAACATTACACTTCGGTTGCTCTGGAAATGTTTGTTGTATATGTCTGTTGTCAATACAAAGAAAAGACCATGGTATCAAGGGGGGAACTAGTAGCAGGAGCTCTGCAGTAACAAAGGTCCCGTCTTCATAGAAATATTCCTAGTAATAAACAAGAACAAGAATAAACAAGAATAGCAGAATCTAGTCACTTTTCCCCAAAAAAGTTGTAGCTAGTTTTCCTGATTTTTAGATCCGTGGGGGATATTTCACATGCTGTCAAATTGATTTCTTTATTTGTAGCCATGTCAGATCCAGATCAGACTCTGATGTGATAGTTTATTACAATGCCTCATTTATTGTTTTAACATAAGAACATAAGAATGTCAATACTGGGTCAGACCAATGATCCATCTAGCCCAGCATACTATCCTCTAACAGTGACCAGTGCCAGATGCTTCAGAGAGAATGAAACAGAATATGGCAATTATCGAGCGATCCATCCCCTGTTGTCCAGTTCCAGCTTCTGGCAGTCAGCAGTTTAGGGACACCTGGAGCATGGGTTAGTATCCCATACCATCTTGGCTCATAGCTATTGAAGGACCTATCCTCCATGAATTTACCTAATTCTTTTTTGAACCCAGTTATGCTTTAGGCCTTCACAACATCCCCTGGCAATGAGTTCCACAGGTTGACTGCATTGTGTGAAGAAATACTTTCTTATGTTAGTTTTAAACCTGCTGCCTATTAATTTCATTGGGCGACTCCTGCTTCTTGTTTTATGTGAGGAGGGTAAATAACATTTCCTTATTCGTTTTCTCTACACCACTCATGACTTTATAGCCCTCTATCATATCCCCCTTAATCGTCTCTTTTCTAAGATGACCAGTCCCAGTCTTGTTATTCTCTCCTCATATGGAAGCTGTTCCATGGCCCTAATCATTTTTGTTGCCCTTCTTTTTACCTTTTCCAATTCTAAAATATATTTTTGAGATGGGACGACCAGAACTACATGCAGTGTTCAAGGTGTGGGTTTACCATGGATTTATATAGTGGTATTCTGATATTTTTCTGTCTTGTCTCTGTCCCTTTCCTAATGGTTCCTAACATTCTGTTAACTTTTTTTGACTGCAGCTGCACACTGAGCAGATGAATTCAGAGAACTATCCACAATTACTGCAAGGTCTCTTTTCTGACTGGAAACAGCTGATTTAGACCCCATCATTTTGTATCTATAGTTAGAATTATGTTTTCCAATGTGTATTACTTTGCACTTATCAACATTGATTTCATTTGCCATTTTGTCACCCAGTCCCCCAGTTTTGTGAGATCCCTTTGTAGCTCTTCACAGTCAGCTTTGGTCTTAACTACCGTGAGTAATTCTGTATCATTTGCAAATTTTGCCACTTAACTAATTACCGCCTTTCCACATCATTTATGAACATGTTGTACAAATCCCTGGAGGACCCCGCTATTTATCTCCCTCCATTGTGAAATCTGATAATTTATTCCTGGCCTTTGTTTCCTATCTTTTAATCAGTTACTGATCCATGAAAGGACCTTCCATCTTATCCCATGACTGCTTACTTTGTTTAAGAGCCTTTGATGTGTCAAAGGCTTTCTGAATGTCTAAGTACGCTGTATCAACTGGATCACCCTTGTACACATACTTGCTCAAAGAATTCTAATAGACTGTTGCGGCATGATTTCCTTTTGACTCTTCCCCAACATATCATGTTCATCTATGTGTCTCATAATTCTGTTCTTTACTATAGTTTCAACTAATTTGCTTGGTACCGAAGTTAGGCTTACTGGCCTGTACTTGTTAGGATTGTCTTTGGAGCCTTTTAAAAAAAATCAGCGTTACATTAGCTAACCTCCAGTCATCTGGTACAGTGACTGATTCAAACAATAGGCTATATACCACTGTCAGTAGTTCAGTGATTTCTTATTGGAGTTCCTTCAGAACTCTGGGTTAATACCATCTAGCCCTGATGACTTATTACTGTTTAATTTATCAATATGTTCCAAAACACCCTCTACTGACACCTTAGTCTAGAATGGTTCCTCAGATCTGTCACCTAAAAGAATGGACTGGATGTGGAAATCTCCCTCACATCCTCTGCAGTGAAGACAGATGCCAAGAATTCATTCAGCTTCTCTGCAATGGTCTTATCTTCCCTGAGTGATCCTTCAGCATCTTGATCATCTAGTGGTCCCACTGATTGTTTGGCAGGCTACCTGCTCCTGATGTACTTAAACATTTTTTTGCTGTTAGTTTTTGTGTCTTTTGCTATTTGCTCATCAAATTCTTTTTTGGCCTGCCTAATTATACTTCCATATTTGACTTGCTAAAGTTTATGCTCTCAAAAAAGATCTCACAAAACTAGTGATTGGGCAACAAAACGGTAAATGAAATTTAATGTAGATAAATGTAAAGTAATGCACATTGGAAAAAATAACCCCAACTATACATACAATATGATGGGGGCTAATTTAGCTACAACAAGTCAGGAAAAAGATCTTGGAGTCATCGTGGATAGTTCTCTGAAGATGTCCACACAGTGTGCAGAGGCAGTCAAAAAAGCAAACAGGATGTTAGGAATCATTAAAAAGGGGATAGAGAATAAGACTGAGAATATATTATTGCCCTTATATAAATCGATGGTATGCCCACATCTTGCCCAACTTCAATGTATACCCCAAATTAAGAAACACAGTAAAAGAACTAAAAAAGAGCCACTGTGGCTTAATAACCATGTAAAAGAAGCAGTGAGTGATAAAAAGACTTCCTTTAAAAAGTGGAAGTCAAATCCTAGTGAGGCAAATAGAAAGGAGCATAAACGCTGCCAGATTAAGTGCAAGAATGTAATAAGAAAAGCCAAAGAGGAGTTTGAAGAACGGCTAGCCCAAAACTCCAAAGGTGGTAATAAAATGTTTTTTAAATATATCAGAAGCAGGAAGCCTGCTAAACAACCAGCGGGGCCCCTTGATGATCGAGATACAAAAGGAGTGCTTAAAGACGATAAAGTCATTGCGGAGAAACTAAATAGATTCTTTGCTTCAGTCTTCACGGCTGAGGATGTTAGGGAGATTCCCAAACCTGAGCCGGCTTTTGTAGGTGACAAATCTGAGGAACTGTCACAGATTGAAGTGTCACTAGAGGAGGTTTTGGAATTAATTGATAAACTTAACATTAACAAGTCACCGGGACCAGATGGCATTCACCCAAGAGTTCTGAAAGAACTCAAATGTGAAGTTGCGGAACTATTAACTAAGGTTTGTAACCTGTCCTTTAAATTGGCTTCTGTACCCAATCACTGGAAGTTAGCTAATGTAACGCCAATATTTAAAAAAGGCTCTAGAGGTGATCCCGGCAATTACAGACCGGTAAGTCTAACGTCGGTACCGGGCAAATTAGTCGAAACAATAGTTAAGAATAAAATTGTCAGACACATAGAAAAACATAAACTGTTGAGCAATAGTCAACATGGTTTCTGTAAAGGGAAATCGTGTCTTACTAATCTATTAGAGTTCTTTGAAGGGGTCAACAAACATGTGGACAAGGGGGATCCAGTGGACATAGTGTACTTAGATTTCCAGGAAGCCTTTGACAAGGTCCCTCACCAAAGGCTCTTACGTAAATTAAGTTGTCAAGGGATAAAAGGGAAGGTCCTTTCATGGATTGAGAACTGGTTAAAAGACCGGGAACAAAGGGTAGGAATTAATGGTAAATTCTCAGAATGGAGAGGGGTAACTAGTGATGTTCCCCAAGGGTCAGTCCTCGGACCAATCCTATTCAACTTATTTATAAATGATCTGGAGAAAGGGGTAAACAGTGAGGTGGCAAAGTTTGCAGATGATACTAAACTGCTCAAGATAGTTAAGACCAAAGCAGACTGTGATGAACTTCAAAAAGATCTCACAAAACTAAGTGATTGGGCAACAAAATGGCAAATGAAATTTAATGTGGATAAATGTAAAGTAATGCACATTGGAAAAAATAACCCCAACTATACATACAATATGATGGGGGCTAATTTAGCTACAAGTCAGGAAAAAGATCTTGGAGTCATCGTGGATAGTTCTCTGAAGATGTCCGCGCAGTGTGCAGAGGCGGTCAAAAAAGCAAACAGGATTTTAGGGATCATTAAAAAGGAGATAGAGAATAAGACTGAGAATATATTATTGCCCTTATATAAATTGATGGTACGCCCACATCTCGAATACTGCGTACAGATGTGGTCTCCTCATCTCAAAAAAGATATACTGGCACTAGAAAAGGTTCAGAGAAGGGCAACTAAAATGATTAGGGGTTTGGAACGGGTCCCATATGAGGAGAGATTAAAGAAGCTAGGACTTTTCAGCTTGGAAAAGAGGAGACTAAGGGGGGATATGATAGAGGTATATAAAATCATGAGTGATGTGGAGAAAGTAGATAAGGAAAAGTTATTTACTTATTCCCATAATACAAGAACTAGGGGCCACCAAATGAAATTAATGGGCAGCAGGTTTAAAACAAATAAAAGGAAGTTCTTCTTCACACAGCGCACTGTCAACTTGTGGAACTCCTTGCCTGAGGAGGTTGTGAAGGCTAGGACTATAACAGCATTTAAAAGAGAACTGGATAAATTCATGGAGGTTAAGTCCATTAATGGCTATTAGCCAGGATGGGTAAGGAATGGTGTCCCTAGCCTCTGTTTGTCAGAGGGTGGAGATGGATGGCAGGAGAGAGATCACTTGATCATTACCTGTTAGGTTCACTCCCTCTGGGGCACCTGGCATTGGTCACTGTCGGTAGACAGGATATTGGGCTAGATGGACCTTTGATCTGACCCAGTATGGCTGTTCTTATGCTCCTTTCTATTTTCCTCAGTAAGATTTGACTTCCAATTTTTTATTGATGCCTTTCTGCCTCTAGATGTCTTTTAATGAAACTTAAATTTATATTTGTAAAAACTTAAAAGGAACTTTAAATTTGTTGCCATTTTACTGTTTCACCCAGTAAAAGAGAGAGGAAAAAATATACTTACTCAGCCTGGATTTTTCTCATTGCTGAGGATTCCATAGAATACATGGATGTCACGCTAGTCAGAAAAATAGATATTAAAAAATAGCATTAGGCAATTTCCTAGAAACCTCCAATTCCCTGCATTTCACTCTCTTTCTGGAGTAACCCACAATCATGAGATGCCCTCACCCAAAAGTGTCTGCCAAAGAACATCGAATCCCTGTGGTAATAACTGGGTTAGCTGTACCAGTGAGAGTTATGGGAATGTCACTAACATCCTTTATCCATTTCATCTCTATAGAAAACAATCCCCTGCTCCAGTGGTAAACTCCACTTCTTAACTTCAAGGCAGATGAGAGTTTCCTCTAATATTGGGACAGTCAGAACCCTTACCCCAAAGATGGAAGGTATCCCTCAGACTGAAAAGAAAGTCCCAATGTTACACCTGAGGCTGGGTTTCCATCATGGCAGTACAGCATCCCATAATCCATTTAGTGCTTTTAGTAGAACATTTAATATGCTGCATGTAACTCCTACTCATGCAAGTAATCTCACTGCACTCACATATCATCTTGGCACAGAAAGGAGGCTATTATTTAATGTCTTGTCATACAAACATCTCCATGACTTCTTCCATGCCACTATATATGGAGCTGAGCAAATAATTGATTTTTTGGTTTGATAGATACAGAAAAACCCAAACAAACTTTTGTTTCGGGTCAAACTAAACATTTAATCTGACTCAAAACAACATTCTTCCATTGTTTTGTTTCATTAAGTTTTCAGGTGTTTTTTACCCTTTAAAAAAATCTCTAACAAATATAACTAAATTTCTAAACCAATCTGCAAATAGTTTATTCACTGATAAATGCATTTTCAGTCAAACAAAACTATGTGCCAAAAAAATAATAATAATAAACAAAAATGCAGCCAGCCCTAGCCCCATATGCTTGGAACACTGTCCCAGAGACTGCCCACTAATCCACCACTCTTGCCTCTTTTAAATCTCTTCTAGAGACACATACACTTCTACCAAGAAGTGAGCTACCTATCATTTTAAATTATAGGCTCAAAGTTCATCAAGAAGTGTACACAAATGAATGGATTCTCTGCATGATCTTATTTATGTGACTCTACCTAACCCTACCCAGTGCCCTCTTGTTTGCATGTCCTCATAACTTCTATTGTGTATAAATTCTAGACTGCAAACATTTGGGAGCACAGAGCTTATCTATCTGTTCTATGAGGTTCCTAACGCACCTGTATACAGGTGGTGTATACATAATGATAATTTGAGGTGACTCAAAAGATCAGTTCCATCTTAATGCCCCCTTTCTGAACTTGAAAACTAGATCAATTTCTGTTTGTCTTTCAGGTAGAAACTGAGACAAGAACCGGAAAGGCCATTTAGCATTGTAAGATTTACAATATTTCCTAGATTTCCAGTGGAAAATATTTCAGAAGTAGAGCTTTGATTGACTCACCGATTTATAATTTGCCTATCACTGGCTCTTACGTTACAGAAAACATCACACAGATGTTTTAATCCTGATGTTTTACCCAGTGAGACTATATCTGCTATAGCAACATAGCGTGAACTGAATACAAAACACACTTGTGCTTTGTCTTCAGATGAGACTTAGTATTTATTTTTAGCCTCTATGGCAGACAACAGGTGGATTATCAGGGATAATTAGCGATGGGCTCAGCTGGCAGTGTGGCTGTTTAGGGTAGAGGATGGGGTAGGCTGTGGTAACAGGACACATAAAAGCATTACAGTCTCATAGGAGGCAGCCTGCTATCTTGGGCATAGTTAGCATCACAATGTAGCTGAAGCTGAAGCACAGGTGGGAGGGATGAGATTGCAAAAAGGGAGGAGAAAAGGTAGCCATGAACAAAAAGGTGAAAGCCCGAGTACCACCATCAGTCTAACTTAATATCACCAGTTACTGCTACATAGAGGTAAGAACCTATTCAGTATATGGCCTTGCTTCATGGGTAATTTAGATGATCAGATATTGGGGGAATCTCTTTTCCCTTGAAAGGTATTTATTCATGCATGACTATGGCAATGCATCAGTAACACCATCACCACCAACCTAACAAAAGAAATAGCTTGTAAGTTCTGATCTTAGTTCTAGTGTGTCTAAGGAGTTATTAGCTGTGTTGACTCTGTCATACTCACTCCTGGCTAATGGAAACTCTTGCTCAAATAAGCACAGGAAATTTGGATGCAAGAACACAGTGATCTACATATTAAGAGATGCTACAGTATATAAAGATTTTTTCACTTATTTCACATGTATTTCACTATATTGGCTTCATGTTGGAATTTTATCATAAGGAAAATGTGAATACTGCTTCCTGATCTATGCACAAAGTCATTAATCTCCAAAAACTCCTTGCTATAAAACAGGGCTCGCAGACAGAAATGGTAATAATGGCCAATGAGCCTAATAACTAGTGGTAAGGCAAGCAATAAAGAATGTTTGAAATATTTCCTTCTGCAAATCAGGCACCTTGGCAAGGAGTACTGAAAAGCATCCATCCTTCCCTCAGACTCATCTGGAGCAGACGTGACTTCAGCCTATAAACACAGAGATAACATCTTTATTATTGGTGCAACACTACATAGCAAAACAAGGCTCAGAACATGGTTAGTCATAAGGCGTCAGGAGTGTGGGGGGACAGGAGGTTTGTGCCACACACATAGTCATTAGGAAATTCCAGCTTAGAAGACCAGGGGGAGAATTTTGTTATAATTTTATCATCTGCATGTGATTCAGCTAATCTATTAACATTAGTTTTAAAACTATGTTCTTAATAATCCTTTGCTATAATATTATAAGCATACAGCATCTTTTATTCAAGGATCTCAGAGTATTTATAAATATTAATAAAACCTCACAATACCCTTCTGAGGTCAATATTAACAGTACATTAAGGCACCTGGAGGTTAATGGCCTAATTTGAACATAGGCTAAACACCTAAATCTCCAGCTGAAGCCAAGGGAGATGTGGGTACTCACCTCCTCTGAAAATCAGGCAAAAATGACTTATCTAACCACACAAAATGTGTCAGTGGTAGAGTGGGAGTAAAGTCTAGCCGTGCTGAGTCCTATTCCATTGCACTAACCACCAGACCATTCCCCCTCACTTCAGGCACTCACACAAACATAGAGATGGTAAAGTTGTCTACTGCTTGCATTTTAAACGACAACACTCAGAAAAGGCCATTAATGCTCCATTATTGACTGTCACTCTTTCATCAGCAAGAAAAAGGCTGATGTGACAGATGTTGCCATATGAATACATAGTACTCAGTTGGACTGGAGGGGAGCTACCTAATTATTAAAGCTTTGTCTGAACCAATTTCTACCCAGTTCAGATGCAGCCACTCTGTCATTTTCAGGGAAGGTATAAAGCAGCAAATATCCCGCAAGCATAAACAGAACTATTTGCTTTATTCATAATCTGAGATGTTAAAGGTCCAGTACCTACTCATGTGAGTAGTTCTATTAACCTTGACAGGATTATTTGTTTAAGGAATACGTGTCTGTGTACAGGCTATAGGATGAGGTCCAAAATTCAGTAGCTATTTGAAAAATCTCAGTTTCAGGTCATACTCTTCAACACAAAAATGAGCAGAAAGGGAAAATGTTAAGACAAAATATCTTCAGAGCTGAAGCCACTTATCACCACAGATCAATAGTGTGCATTCAAAAATTACTGAAAATTCTCCTCCGGTAAAAGACATTTCTGTGCTATTGCAATTATTGTCACAAGCTATATATTTTATCTGAAAAATATTAGCTGAGGGACAGAATCTGCCTCCCTTGCTCATGCTGAGCAGTACCCTACTCCTCAAAGTCCTACTGAAATCTATGAAACTACTTGTAGAGTAAGATACTATTCAACATGAGTAAGGGCAGCAGAGCCTAACAAAGAGATCTGTTAGTATAAAAGACAAAACTAAGCACCAGCTAACCACAATCATTATAAAATCTCCTATGACTGTCAAGAGTATATTTAATAGTGTAGTGCAGCGGTTCTCAAACTTCATTGCACCGCAACCCTCTTCTGACAACAAAAATTACGACATGACCCCAGAATGGGGGACCGAATCCTGAGCCTGTCCCAGCCTGCTGCCCTGGGTGGGGGGAGAAGGAGCCAAAGCTGAAACCCAGCCCCAGGCAGGGGGGGCCTGAAAACTGAGCCCTGTCACCCGGGGCTGAAGCCGAAGCCTGAGCCCCACCACTCAGGGCTGAAGTCCTTGCACCCTGGCGACCCCCTTTAAACAGGGTCGCGACCCACTTTGGGGTCCAGACCCACAGTTTTAGAACCCCTGGTGTAGTGTAAAGACAAATTGACTGATGGCACCAATACACAAAAGGCTGAGACTTCTATCGCAAATCATCCTGTTATGTGTAGGTGTTGAAGCAAATCAAGAATTAAGCTCAAAACGGAGATACCATGTGTGCGCCACACACACACACACACACAATTCAAGGAAACAAAGAAATTCCCAAATTATACCCTGATAAAACAGCTCCTAGGCATTTGCAATATGAGAATCTAGCAGCTATTGCATATTTTATACTTTTTATGAAATGAAGATTCTGTAAAATACATATTTACAGGGCATTTGAAACATGATTATTGATTCTGAATCCCTAATACACATTTGGAGGTTAAGCAGCTATAATAGTTTCTTATCTAAATACTTATTTAAGTCTTTAATAAAAAACGGTTACCTACCTTTTGTAACTGTTGCTCTTATAGATGTGTTGCTCATGTCCATTCCATTCTAGGTTTGTTCACGCCCACCTGCCCGGTTATCAGAGATTTTTGCCTTAGTGGTATCCGTAGGGTTGGCCTTGGCACCCTCTGGAATGCTGCGCTCATGCATCAGTATATCAGGCATCGCCGGCCCTATGCCCTCTCAGTTCCTTCTTGCCAGCAACTCTGACAGAGGAGCAGGCGGGGGCAGGGTTTGGAATGGACATGAGCAACTCATCTCGAAGAACAACAGTTACAAAAGGTAGGTAATTGTTTTTTCTTTTTTGAATGATTGCTCATGTAGATTCCATTGTAGGTGACTCACAAACAGTATCCCTGGAGGTGGGATCGGAGTTCACGGTTGTGTGGCTTGCAGCACTGCTCTGCCAAAGCCAGCATTGTCTCGGGCTTGCTGGATAAGCACATAGAGAGACATAAACATGTGCATAGTTGACCAGGTAGTGGCCCTGCAGATATCTTGAATAGGCACTTGGGGCAGGAAGGCCACCGATGAGGCTTGCGCCCTAGTCGAATGGGCAGTTACAATTGCTGGAGGAGGCACTTTCACCTGTTCATAGCAAAACTGAATGCAGGCAGTGATCCACGATGAGATCCTCTGGGTGGACACCAGATGACCTTTCATCTTGTCCGCCACTGTAACGAACAGCTGCATCGACTTACTTGCTTGGTTCTTTCAATGTAAAAGGCTAGCACTCTTCTGACATCCAGAGAGTGCAATCTACGCATCTCCTCATACCTATGAGGCTTTGGGAAGAAGACTGGCAAGAATATGTCCTGGCTCACATGAAACTGAAACAACGTTGGGCAGGAAAGCTGGGTGTGGCCGCAGCTGGACTTTGTCCTTGAAAAACACTGTATAGGGCGGCTCTGAGGTTAGTGCCCTAATCTCAGAGACCCTATGAGCAGATGTTATTGCCACTAGGAATGACACCTTCCAGGAGAGCAGAAGAAGGGAACAGGAAGCCAATGGCTCAAATGGGGCCCCCATGAGCTATGCCAGCACTAGATTCAGGTCCCAAAGAGGGACTGGGTCTCAGAACATGGGGGTAGAGTCACCCCAGACCTTTCAAGAACCGGACCATCATGTCGTGAGTGAAGACCAAGCTGCCCTGAACTGGGTGAAAAGCTGATATAGCAGCCAAGTGGACCTTAATTGATGAAATGGTCAAGCCCTGGAGCTTAAGATGTAGGAGATAGTCCAGGATTGACTGCATCAAGGCCTGCTCAGGCCTAATATTCTGGTCCAAGGCCCAGCATGTGAACTGTTTCCATTTGGCCAGGTAGGTTGCTCTGGTAGAGGGCTTCCTACTGCCCAACAGTACCTGCTGGACACGGCCCGAGCACTCCCGCTCTTCCGCATTTAACCACACAACAGCCAAGCAGTCAGTTGCAGTGCTGCCAGGTTCAGGTGCAGAAGATTGCCATGGTTCTGGGACAGCAGATCCAGCCAGAGAGGCAGCTGCAGTGGGGCCACCACCGAGAGGTCCAGCAGCATGCTGAACCAGTGCTGGCGACGCCAAGCCGGGGTTATTAGCATTACCTTCGCCCTGTCCTGTTTGATCATCGTGAGGATTCTGTGGATTAATGGCACTGGTGGGAAGGAGTACATCAGGGCCCCCGACCACGGGAGTAAAAAGGCGTCTGACAGGAAGCCTCTGTCGATCCCTCAAATCAAGCAGAACACATGGCATTTCCTGTTCTGAGAAGCAAACAAGTCCACTTGGGCAGTTTCCTTCCTTTGGAAGATCATGCTGACCACCTCCAGATGGAGTGACCACTCATGGTGAGACACGAAGCTTCTGCTGAGGCGATCTGCTAATACATTCCAGGTCCCCAGGAGGTACACGGCCACGAAATGAATGGCATTCTGCACACAGAAGTCCCAGAGCCGGAGGGCTTCCTAGCAAAGGGCTGTCAACCTGGCTCCACCATGTTTGTTGATATAAAATTTTGCAGTGGTGTTGTCTGTCAGGACTTGTACCACTCTGCCCTTCAAGTGGGACCGGAAAGTCTGGCAGGCCAAATGAACCGCTCTGAGCTCCCTGACATTTATGTGGAGGGAGCGATCGTCCCGCAGCCAGCGGCCTTGCGTGCTGAGCTCGCCCAAGTGGACTTCCTAGCCAAGGTCCAAGGCATCGGAAACCAGGGTCAGCGACTGGGACAGGGCCGCGAAGGGAACCCCATCCAACACCGATTTGGGGTCCAACCACTATTCCAGTGACAACCGGATATGGTCTGGTACCCTGACTACCAGGTCTAGATCATGCCCTTTGGGGGTGTAGACTGACACCAGCCATGGTTGCAGTGCAGGAGATGGAGCCAGGCATGACGGACCACGTAAGTACAAGCTGCCATGTTGCCTAACAACCTCAGGCAGGCCGTGATGAGCGGGTGGACCCTTATGGGGGAGTTCAAGTCTGACGTAGCTTAGAAACGGGCCTCCAGAAGGAATACTCTGGCCCGCGTGGAGTCAAGGACTGCCCCTATGAACTCTATCTGTTACACTGGTACGAGGATCAATTTATTTTCATTTACTAATAGGCCCAGGTCGTGACAGGTAGAACGCACCAGATTGAGACTCCTCTGCACTTGATCCTGCAATCTGCCCTTGATGAGCCAATCGCCGAGATAAGGATAGATCTGGACCCCTCGATGTCTCAGGTAAGTGGCTACTGGGGCCATGCATTTTAAGAATACACACATGACCGACGAGGGGCCAAAGGGCAGCACTATAAATTGGAAGTGAATCTGACCCATCATAAAACAGAGGAACCGTCTGTGTCATTGGAAGATGGAAATATGAAAATTAACATATTTCAAGTCGAGAGTGGTGTACCAGTCTCCCAGATCCAGGGAGGGAATGATGGAGGCCAGGGAGACCATGCAGAACTTCAACTTTTTGAGATATTTGTTGAGTCGCTGCAGGTCCAGAATGCGTCTTAGGCCCCCTTTTGCTTTCAGGAATAAAAAATAGCAGAAGTAAAACACTTTCCCCCTCATTTCCTGAGGGACCTCTTCCATTGCCCCCAACTGCAGGTGGTTGTCGACCTCCTGAGCGAGGAGTTGCTCATGAGAAGTGTTTGCCAGAGGGATTTGTCAATCTTTAGGACCCCATCTTGCACCGGAAGCGTGACACATGCAGGGGTTGATGCGGAGAGCACATTAAACAAGGTGTCCGATTGCGCCACCATCTCCTCCACCTCTAGGCCTAAGTTCGTGACCACCCTTTGGAGCAGAGATTGGTGCTCCTTAAAATCATCTGGTGGGCTAGCGTGAGAGGCTAAAGGCAAAAATCTCCGATGAATGTGCATGTGAGCGCGCACACACCTAGAATGGAATTGACATGAGCAAGCACTCGAAGAAGAAGATGGGGTACAGATCTATCTGATTCAAACAACTGGTATCAATAAAGTCCATACTAAGAGATGGCTCTCAAGAGTCCATTTTGGACTACAGCAGGAATTATTTTTATTTTTGGAGTACCAGAAGCTTCTTTACTACATATTCAGGAACTGAATGGTTTCTCACAAGTTCTTTTTACTTCCCTAACCTAACAGCATATAAAGGCTCCTTATTAATATTCAGGTTCGTGTGTCTGTCCAGCTCTCAAACATACATTCAAGCGCAAGTGCTAAAAATCCTTACAGAATCCATCTCCAAACAAATTCTCCTGTGCATGATTCTTAAGTCATTTTTTTCAAGAAAATAATTGATTTTTTATTCTTTTCTCCCAAAGATTCCCCAAAAGCCCAAAGTCCACACTATTGTCTAATGGGCTGCTACATTCCAGCTTAGAAACAATGCCATTTTTGAGCTATAGTATTTAAAATAAAAGTCACTAAAGATCTGGCTCTGGTTTTCAAATCCCTCTCCAAAAGTTCTAGGACTGTATTCCATATGTACAAAAATTCCATAAACCATGTTGTGTACCTATAAGCTATCTATCTACCTACCTACAATACTGCACCAACTTCATCATGTTTAATGATACTGGGCCAAGTGTCTGCATTCTTATCTGTATCTCAATTTCATACGTGTATATTTACACGTGTGCTTACCTGTAAACGTCACATACTACACATAGGTTTTAAAAAAACTAGTTTTTCAGAATCTATTTCAATTTGTCCATATTCTTTCTTATCATTCCAGCTCATTCCTTTGAAACAAGTAGCTTGACACACACCAAATTAATCTGTCACCCATCCAGAATATGAAATTTAATTCAGCTTTACACTGTAGTGGCAAAGATAAAATATGGGTTCTCTGCATGGTGGACGTGTAGTCAAAACACCTCAGTGACTGATAGAGATATTATTTGTATTACCTGTGTTATGATCTTCTGCAGTATGGTAGTATCTTTTCTCTCAGGTTCTCTGGTCTCAGATTGAAAACTACAAAGTTTAAAAAGAATATTAGACAGATCTCTCAGAATGTACATGCCTTGTAGTCGAAACAGCTGTTTTCTATATACATTGACAGAGATTTTCAAAGCCACCTACAGGATCTAGACACTTGATTCCCATCAATGTTAAAGGTTACTGGGCATTCAAATCCTTTAGACATCTTTGAAAATCTTTGCTATAGCTTCTACTCTCATAATGAAAGTAAGAGTCAATTTTCAATGATGGCAATATTTAAGGTAATAAAGCCATATCCAGATCATCCAAATTGATCTGCTGACTGCATAGCAAAATATTCAGAATAATTGTCTGGGACTGGGAGTGGAGACTGCCAAAAAATTAATATAAAATGCAATAGGGCCATTATATAACCTACACACAGCAAATCAATAGTACAAATATGAAAGATGGTAAATTACCACCACTGCAGTCTTCTGAATTCTAAAATATATGGAATAAAATAAGCAGAGACCAATCACCTCCAAGTACAGGGTAGAGTATAGGAGATGCTTGCATTGCTACTGCCTGTGTTTTTAATAAAATGAGGGCTTGAGTGTCCAGTTTGGCCAATATACCACCCTTTGTGAGCACAAAATTAACTTAAATATATCACATAAATTTCAACTGCTAAGGAAAAAAGAATTAAAAATAGAAAGTAACTGACATTCTCAAAAAGGTTTATGAAAGACTTGTGGTAAGAAGCATAAATCAAATGATATTGGGAATCTTGATCTTTGTTTAAATGATCAGACTCAATCAGCACTGGTTCATGTATTAGAAAAAAGATATTTGATGACAAATGTCTTAATAGAACTATTTAAACCAGCCAAACTTAATGTTTCTTCTATATGCCTTTTTGCTGCAGATGGAAAAGGGCACAGGTATTTATTTTAAATATACATTAAAATGCCTATTCTCCTCTAGGTATCAATGGAAATTTCATCTAAGTGGTCTATCTACCTGTCTATAAAAAGGGACTACCTTACCCAAATTTTAATGTCTAAAGGTGTTTTGTATCAGAGGGGTAGCCGTGTTAGTCTGAATCTGTAAAAAGCAACAGAGGGTCCTGTGGCACCTTTAAGACTAACAGAAGTATTGGGAGCATAAGCTTTCGTGGGTAAGAACCTCACTTCTTCAGATGCAAGTAATGGAAATCTCCAGAGGCAGGTATAAATCAGTATGGACTGATTTATACCTCCATACTGATTTATACCTGCCTCTGGAGATTTCCATTACTTGCATCTGAAGAAGTGAGGTTCTTACCCACGAAAGCTTATGCTCCCAATACTTCTGTTAGTCTTAAAGGTGCCACAGGACCCTCTGTTGCTTTTTAAAGGTGTTTTGGCATTTTATCTGTGGTGAAGTATATTTGCCATTAGACCATATTACTTTAGTCACAATCTATATCAAAATGAAGTGATGAAGTTAACAGAGGTAAGGGAGGAAGGAGAAGCTCAGAGTTTCTTGCAAATTTTTTGTTCAATCATTTCATTACATCCACCAGGTAAGCCCTGGTTTCAGATCTGGAACCCTACTTGAATGACCAAGGAAGTTGACAGAAGTTGAGCTCTTCCTACCTCAATATTCCCAAGATGTTGGAAAACAAGTCTCCTGCTTTAGATTCAAGTGCTTTCAGGGGTGCTGCACTTGCCACTTGAAATCCAATAGTATGGATTTCAGTCCTGATGCTATGGGGTGCTGAGCCCCCTGAGCTCCCATTGACATCAGTGGGAGTGGAGGCCATTCAGCATCTTGCATATTGGCCCCACAGTGATTATCCTCTATCCACTGTTTCCTCAAAACATGCACATGCACAGTAGTGCTCTCATTTAAAGGTGCTCAGAGACTATGCTGATGGACATGGTAAAAACTCTAGGCAGGATAGACAGCTCATACAAGAAAGCGGAGCATTAGGGATACAGGCACTGAGGCAACTAAGGTCCCTAAGACTATAAGAAACTTACTTCAGAAGGAAAAATCTGACAACAAAAATTCTGCCTATGAGAACATTTTATACAAAATAAAATTGCCTTCTTCTGCATTAACATGTCCACTGCTCCAAGCAGCAGCACAGAGCAAGAGAAGGCAATTTTATCTTGTATAAAATGTTCACACAAACTGTATCTTAAAATGTTTTAACTAAAAATAGAATCACATATCTTAAAAAGAAAAAAAGAGGCATTAAGAGATGTATTCAAGGGGAAAAGGGCATTCTGAGTGAGATTTCAAAAAGGGATGGAGAGTCAATTAGGGAGACGCCAGAGTACTCTCTATATAGACTGCAGGAGCTGCAGAAGGGAAGGTTCATGTGTAAAACTGTGAGAAAAGACAGAAAGAAAGCCAGTGTAAAAAACAGAGCGAGCAGGGAGGAGAACAGATACATGAGGAACGAGTCTCCACTTTCTTTACCTTGTGTTGGCATTGACACCAGTGCAAAGTGCATGTAGAATACTGCCATTTGGATCTGGTAGCATTTGAAATCCAGAATGCATAGGTGTAAACAGTGACACAAGGTAAAAGGGAGTAGAGAATCATGTCCACAGTCTATGATACAGATTGGAGCAGGTCTTTGGAGGGTTTTTAACACAAGAGACCAAATTCTGTTCTAATTTCCATGAGTGATAAGTCTGGAAGAATTGTAGTGATTTCAATTAAATTACGCTGGATTTGCACCTGTATAGATGGGAGAAGACTTCAATGCAGTATGTAGCTTTATGAAGATCCTGACATAATTAACACTTAAATAACACTATTTTAAAATTTTAGTCTCTGTACCTGCTCAAGTCAGTTTGTGTTTCTGCTTCCACCTGCTGCTTGGGGGGGTCCTTCTTTTTTCTTTTAGCAGGTGTGTAATACCTATACTGTGACAGGAAGGATTTAGCATCTGATTTTAAGGTGCGTGGAGTGAACGGTTGATGGCTGTCAGTAAAGTGGTCAGAGTGCCTATCTAGGAGATCCCCGCTGTACACTTTGGATTCAGTATCCTGATGCTTGTGAGAAGGACTGATGTTCATAACACTTTCAGCAGAAGAACTGTATGAAACTCCAGAGTATTTTCTTTGTGGACTTGAAACACTGACACTTGAATTAGATGTTTTCCGAGTATCTTTTCTAACACATTTTGCAGGGTTGGGAAGATCCAGGCCTTGCCTGTCCGAAGACAATAATGATCTAGACAAATACTTCTGTGCATTTTGTGCGTGAGAAGATAGCTGGTCATTGGCTTCTGCTTCAAATGAACTCTAGAAAAACACAAATGATAATGTTCTGTGAAACGATTGCTTAACCGGTTTCTTTTCAAGAGATTACATGGAGCACATCTAAAGTATGAGGCACATAAAGAGTGTCAAAGAGCAACTATTTATCTCAGAAAATCAGTGTGAACAATTGGTTTGACCCCAAATAAAGGAAATCATTAAATATGAAATAATTATAAATTATGAAACTGAACAAAATTTAACAAATTACACTTATTATTAATACAGTAAAATGTCTGTACACTTTTACGCTGAAAAGTGTCAAGGTAAAAACTGCACATCCTTATTCAATAGATAGGCTCCCTGTGGGCTTTAGAGACAAAAGCATAGTAATCTTTACTACTATTAGCACTGCAGAACCAACACAGACAGGTAGGGAATAGTGAGTTGGATTCTACTCTTTCTTGTGCATAACCAACAGAATTGTGTACAAAATTTCAATCATTTACACCAGTGCAAAAAGCCACTGAAGACAATGAGGTTGTACAGGTGTAACTGAAGGCCTGGATTGATTTGCAGAACACCTTCATTGCCGAGGATGATGTGTAAGAAAGAAAACCCCTAGTGTTACTCTCAGATCCCAGGTTGAAGTTTGCAGGGCTGCCAGTAAGAAAGAACATCTGTCTCTGCAGCTCAGGCTGTGGTTTTAACCAAGTTGGAGATGTTTTCTATAAAGATTTTGCATTTCAATAAAGTCAAATGCGTTAGCAAGAAACACCAATGGTGGTATTTTTAGTCACCTCCAAACAATGAAGGATTTTAAAGCTCAAAGGTTGTAGGTTGGATACTGAAAATTAAATGCGATGTCTTACAATCAGAACATCCCTACAAACGCTGAGGTGCCATATTACATATAGCCTTTGTATAGACTAGAGCAGGGGTGGGCAAACTTTTTGGCCTGAGGGCCGCATCGGCCTTGCAAAACTGTATGGAGGGCTGGGTAGGGAAGGCTGTGCCTCCCCAAACAGCCTGGTCCCCGCCCCTATCTGCCCCCTCCCACTTCCCGCCCCCTGATTGCCCCCCTCAGAACTCCCAACCCATCCAACCCCCCCTGCTCCTTGTCCCCTGACCACCCCCTCCCGGGACCCCCTCCCCAACCACCCCCCGGGGACTCCACCCCCTATCCAATGCCCCCCGTTCCCTGACTGTCCCCCCCGAACCTCCGCCCCATCCAACCGCCCCCTGCTCCCTGTCCCGACTGCCCCCACCCCGGGACTCCCTGACCTTTTCCAACCTTCCCCCCCCTTACCATGCTGCTCAGAGCAGCAGGGGCTTGCAGCCCCGCCGCCCGGTTGGAGCCAGTCACACCGCCGCACTGCCCGTCAGGAGCGGTGGGCCAGAGCACGCTGGTGGCAGGGCGAGTTGAGGCTGCGGGGGAGAGAAGATAGCAGGGGAGGAGCCGGGGGCTAGCCTCCCTGGCCAGGAGCTCAGGGGCCGGGCAGGATGGTCCCACGGGCTGTAGTTTGCCCACCTCTGGACTAGAGATGTCCAACCTTTTCAGCCTGAGGGCCAACCATATTTCAAAAAGGTCAAAGGACCACAATCAATGCTTTGGCGCAGGTTCTCTGACCTATTCAGATCCCTCTGTGCTGCACAGACAGAGAAAGATGAGTAGAAACCACCCACAATTCTCCTGCATGGTATTCCCACACCGGGGGGTATCCTCTAGCAGGTGTGTTGCTGGCATAGCCTGCTTCTATACCTCCCTCCCCACTGTTCCTTGCTGGTGGGAGCATGTTGCATTCCTGCTATCCTCAGATGGTGTATTATCCCCAAGGTGACCATTACCAGGTGGTGCAACTTAGAGCCATTTGGGAGCTGCTCTAACTTGGGCTGGGGCACAGAATTGGTTGTTGGTTCTCAGCTTCTCCATTTTATCCCCTCTCCTGGGCTGCCTTAGGTGGCTGCCTGGGTGAGAGGAGCCATTTTTTGATAGACGCTGCTGTAGGCTCTGGAAGAACCAGTCGTGGTCCTGTCCTGCTCTCCATTGGCCTTCCTCAGCCCTAAGCGACATCTGACAGTGTGGAAAGGATTCAGAGGCACTAAATGAGGAAAGGCACGTTAGAAAGTTAAGTGTGAATGGCTGTGTAATGTATCAGCACTAGTCAAGCCCATTTTGATGTGGGTCCAAAAGTTCAGGAAGCATCCTAACAAGACAGTTATTGAACAAGCCTTTAACACATCCCTGGAAATGTGTAGTGTCACAGTTGGACTTGAAGGATAGTAAAACTTCTAATGACTCTGCTAACTGGCAAGAGTTATTTCTAACACTTTATTAACTCCAAGGTCTCGCCACCCCCATTGGCCCGGGACGGCGAACCGCGGCCAGTGGGGGCCGCGATCGGCCGAACCTGCCGCGTCAGCAGGTAAATAAAACTGGCCCGGCCCGACAGGGTGCTTACCCTGGCGAAGCGCGTGCCGAACGTTGCCGACCCCTGCTCTAGCACATCTCATTATCATACTGTATAAACAATATAGTGCAGCACTCAATCTAAAAGAGCAACTTACAAAACCTGCCAGTTTAGTTCACTTTAAACTGAATAAAGAGGCTTCTTAAAATGAGGGATTCATTGTTCGTTACACTCAATGGGCCTGCTTGGCTAGCATTCATATCATCAAATATTGTAAAATGTAAATGAATGTAAATATAGAAAAGGGGTTTCTGAAGGGCAGAATTTAATTTATTAGGCTAATTAGTTACCAGATTTCTTGTGAACTTGAAGTTTAGCTTCAGACAGGTGGAAGTAGAAACCTTTCATATGATATATACCCAACATATTAATTAGGAATAGGTAGATCAGAAGACACTGGTATATGACTAAAGATTAGGCAGCATGTACTTTAGAAGTGATAAAAGAAGGGAGCCAAGGCAGTTGAATTCATGAATAAAATACATTCAGGAATGTGTCTGAGTTTAAAATTATCTTAAACATCTGGCTCTTTATACAGATTAATTAAAAAATAATATGCAATTCAGTCCATCAGCAGGCTTTCATACAAATGATTACAGATTATCACTTGACAAAGCCTTGATTCTAAGCAATGTCCTACTCACAAATGCCACATGATTAAGGCCACATTTTAGTCACGGGCATTATTAGTAAAAGTCATGGACAGGTCACAGGCAATAAACAAAAATTCACTGCCCATGACCTGTCCATGATTTGTACTATATATCCCTGACTAAATCTTGGGGGGGCATCCCAGGGATGCCGCGGGTGCTTGGGCAGGGGTGGGGTGGCAGTCCAGGGGACACCGTGGGTGCTCTTGGGGGAGCAGCCCAGGACTCCTGCTGGTTCTGAGGGGGCGGGGCTGGCAGGATCCCTACCTGGCTCTGCGCGGCTCCCCAGAAGCAGCAACACATCCCTCCATCAGCTCCTAGGCGGAGGTGTGGCCAGGCAGCTCTGCGCACTGCCTCCTCCCCAAGCTCCGCAGCTCCCAAAGGCCTAACTATTTCTAAAAGTTCCTGATAGTACATTTTCTGCTCTCTTGTGTGCACCTAAGCAATGGGTTTTTTTTTTTAAGATCCAGGAAATGTGCCTTTTTGCTGTATAAATGATGTTACATTACCTCCTAATAACTGTGTTATTAATCCCTGTGTCACCAATAGCCCATTTTTTCACTCTCAGAACTCCATGGTGTTTTAAACTAAAAAACAAACGTGCCTTTTGTGGTATTTTAAACAGTTCTTGTAATAGCTTTAAAACAAACAAAGAAAACCTCTCTCTAGGAAGACCATCAAAAATAAATCACAGTACACATTGCTCACATATAACATGATATTTCCCTTTGCCTTCATTACACTTTTCTCCAAATTTAATACAAATGTTACTTTTCTAGTGAGAACAACCATTTGAGATATGTTTACATGCTAATAACTAGAGCAAACAGCTCATATATTTACAGTTAGTAAGGATGCAATGCACCCTTCTTTGTGGTAGTTCACACTTAATTTTACTTCTACAGCACAATTAAGTGCTGAACTGGTAACCTGCAATAACAATGCCAAACAAATGCCTGTGTTAGCAAGCAGTATAATAAGGTTTACTACATGATTATTTGGATATAAAATAATTGCAGCTATAGTTTGGTGCTATGGAAAACAGATAAGACTGGAATGTTTCAAAATCCACCTATATGAATGTTTTGGAAAGCAAATTCCAAACCCTTTAGCATTTACATAAACAACAACTTCATTTTTGTTGTACAATGTATATTTGGTGCTCTTATTTTTTAAAATAGCTTAAGGAGTTTCAGCGTGAATCAAACTTTAGAAGCACTTAGTACATATGACAACTTAATCACATCTAAAATAAAACAGAGTAATGACTTTTTATTGCTAAGGGTAATGGGTCAATTATTGTGCTGATTCCATCTCATGAAAATACACTGGACCCAGTCCTTAGACACACTGAGCTGAGTGAAGGGAGTGTCAGCTAGTGCAAAATTAGGCGCTGCTGTTTGCATGCACTTTACTCCTATGTGTACAACAAACTGATTCTGCTTATACAAAAAGAACTGTTAAACATCAATCTAATTTATAGATTTATATATGTATGTGTATATATATTCATTTATATTACGATGTCATGAATCTACTTAACATTAGAGATTTATCTAACCATGAAAATATGGCTAATTTTACACAATACTACAAATATTCAGTGTGAGACTGCATGGGAGATTTTACTCTATCCATCAAACAAAACTAAACAATTTTAAATAAATAGTGGAAACCCCATTGTTTGGGACATGTAAAACTAGACTGAGTATGGTACTGGAAAATATACTGTAAGGGACAATCCTGAGCTGACTTCTCTTTCACTTCTATTTTCTATGATCCGACTGTATATGAATGAGTAATTTACAACTCCTATGTTCTTACAAACACAACCTTACTAAGGCTACTTCTACGATACATACCCACACTAGCTTTAATCTAGCTAGCTCACAATAGCACTGACTTGGGGCGGTGCGGGCTTCAG